CCAGGAGTTGGAGGTTGCTGTGAGCTGTAATGCCACAGCACTCTACCCAGGGGGAAAGCTTGAGGCTCTGTCTCAAAAAAAAAAATAAAAAGAAAAAGAAAGGGATGGATAGGTGGCACATGTGGCTCAAGGAGTAGGGCACCGGCCCCATATACCGGAGGTGGTGGGTTCAAACCCAGCCCTGGGCAAAAACTGCAAAAAAAAAAAAGAAAGAAAAGAAAGAAAGGAAGTGTGACATGCCCAGAAAAACTGGTGAGCCAGCAAGGCGCAGCACTGGGAAGGGAAAAGAAAGCAAGGTCAAGGAGAGCTTAAAGAAAAGGGTGCCAGGCATTGTGGCTCATGCCTGTAATCGTAGCACTCAAGGAGAGCCAAGTGGGTGAACTGCTTGAGTTCAGGAGTTCAAGACCAGCCTGACCAAGACCCAGACTTCCTCTCTAAAAAATTACCTGGGCATGTGGCAGGCGCCTGTAGTCTCAGCTACTTGGGAGAGTGAGGCAAGAGGATCACTTGAGCCCAAGAGTTTCAGGTTGCTGTGAGCTGTGACAGGATAGCAACCTACACTGGGTGACAGATTACGACTCTTTCTCACAAAAAAAAAAAAAAAAAGAGAGAGAGAGAGAGAAAGATTGGACGCTTTGCAGTCCCAGCTACTGAGGAAAGCTACTGCAGGCTGAGGAAAGAGAATCGCTTAAGCCCAAGAGTTTGAGGGTGCTGTGAGCTGTGATGCCACAGCACCCTCCCGAAGGCGTCATAATAAGATTCTGTCTCAAAAAAAAAAAGAGAGGAAAAGAAAGAAAAGAGAAGGGAGGTTTGAGGAAGTGGCTCAAGACTCTTACCCAACACTGAGGAAGGCCAAGGTAGGTGGATCATCTGAGCTCAGGAGTTCAAAACCAGCATGAGCAAGAGCAAAACCCCATCTCCACTAAAAATAGTCGGCTCAGCGCCTATGGCTCAAGTGGCTAAGGCGCCAGCCACATACACCTAAGGTGGCAGGTTCGGTCCAGCCCAGGCCCACCAAACAACAATGACGGCTGCAACCAAAAAATAGCCAGGCGTTGTGGTGGGCGCCTGTGGTCCCAGCTACTTGGGAGGCAGAGGCAGGAGATGCACTTGAACCCAGGAGTTGGAGGTTGCTGTGAGCTGTGATGCCACCGCACTCTACCCAGGGGGACAGCTTGAGGC